GAAATCAAAGTGTCGTCATAAAAGTTGGTGCCATTGCTGATAAGAGAAATAAACACAAGTTTTTGCCATCAGTAGAAAGAACTCTGTGTTTGTGAACCCCTGAGACGAGGCAGAAGTGATACTCTCTATGTCTTGTATGTATTTTTATCTTAATCGCATTTGCATCCGCACACCTGCAGTCAAGTGTTCATTGACTGGTGACCATGTCTTCACTGTATAAAAGTAAGATGCTGTTGTGCTCTCCTGCAGACTGCTTTGCACCCTGTATGACCTGTACCTTTGAAGCTTCAAATAAAATAAGGCAAAGACAACTCAGACTTCTGGACTTTATTTAGATGATAGTAAAGTTTCCACAACATGCTCATCACGTGTTTTCCTCAAGACTGTTGAATCATGTGATGGACTCATCAAGCTGACTTTGTTTATTACGCAATTCCATATAAGTCATTTCATAAATTTGATGTCATCAGTGTTGCTCTACATTGTATAAAAAAGCGAAAATGATGCTAAACCAAATACTGGGTCACTGTGTCCAAAGTCTTACTGGGTGTAAGCAACGTGCTAGCTATTAAATTCTGATCATCAGTCGTTAAACACGCCCTGTCACAGAGACTATCATTAGCCTGGCCCAGTCTCATCAAGTTATTCAGCTTGTGTTGACTCACAACAGGTAGCATGGAACTTATCTCACTTTATTACTGAAAATGTATTTATAATTTATAGCTTCCAGCCACTCCCAGCAAACATGATAAAAACAGGCACCATAAAGAACACTCATGCAAATACAAGGGCGGCACTCGGGTGTCAAACGCTGAAGTGCAAAGTGTTTACCTCCAGTGTAACAACGGTGATCTCATCTGGCCAGAAGACTCAGCTTCACCCACCTTCATGACACGTTTTAGGAAGGGAACACACAGTGACTGCAAATATTCTACAATGGCCAGAACAGTTTCCATATAACAACATGGGCTTTACTTTGAATGCACACTGAATGGATATTTTCTAAGAATATAATCTTGGCTTTCCTATTTAACAAACATAAAGAACCAGTCCTGCCAACTTGGAGGGTGGGGCGCTGCATCACAAGCTCTTCTTTAGAGTCAGTCCTTTATGTAACAAACATAAGGAACCAGTCCTGCATTTTAAGATGGCTGAATAACAATGTGGGTATTGTCAGGTTAACAGAATAGCAGTGATTAAGGCGATGAAGAAACCGTTTTTTAACAATAGTACTGACAGAACATGTTCTGTGTGATGATAATCCTAACAGCCTGCCTCATGCTTAGCAGGAGGCAAAAAGTAAACAGGAAAGTGCTGTCTGTCTGTCTCTGTAATCTCTACTGATGTCTTTAGGTTGATAAGTCATCCTAGCCCTTCTGTAGTCACTGATAGCCGTTTTATGTTGTTCTATTTAATGTTTCTCAAGAACTGTTCATCCAAACAACTTCAAATGTGACACTTGCTCACATCCATACCAACACACCCACCAAGTAGATTGTATAAACGGTTGTCAAGAAAAGCAAAGAACAGACACATATGTAAAAAACATCTTGATTTAGTTGTAAGATAACAGTTAAAAACTAAAGTCCAACCTTTAACAGATTATTTCTTAACACTATGAACACTGTGCCACGTAGTTTGCTTCGTGTGGTAAGCAAAACAGATAACAACTATCAAGTTGAAAAAAAGGACTTCAGGAGAAGCGATGACGGATACGTTTGTTTATTTTTCCAAATTTTGTCAAGCTCACACACCAACAAACTGTCTTTATCAGACTTTTATTCGCTTTCAGTCAGTTATATTTCTCAGATATACCCCTTTGCTAAACCAGTTGTTCTATATTCAGAGAATATTATTGGTCTGCAAAGGCTCTCTTTTTTTTTTATTTTTATTTTTTTACCAACAACAGACCTGATTTAGCTCAGGATTGGACTTTATTTCAGCTGTACTCAACTCTGCTGTCTGAATGTGTATCTGCACTTCCAAATGTGTGAGGTTTTCCATGTAATCAGCAATTATTTGGTGCTGATTGTCAGCAGTTTGAGTCCTTTTGTGAGGTACTAGTGATTACTGCACATCAGGAAAACTATGACAAAAAAGATTTTCAAATGTAGTCTCCATTGGCAGACATTTTCAGCCAGAAAGATTAACCTGGCACTCCTTGATGTTGTGTTCCTCAGTGGTGTGGACATGCTTTGAAAATGTCCAAAAAAACTTGAGACAAAATGAAACTTAATGACTAAAGGAATGACAGAGGGTGGGGCTTCTGTGGAACATGAAACTTAGACTCAACATATATAAAAAAATAAAAACCTTTGATGAGTGGAATGATTGTCATCTCAGCTGATGAAACATTCACAAAACTTCATTTACGCTGTGATCAGCCAGTTTTTCCATGTTGTGTAATTCTTAAAGAGGTTGAAGGAGGATGAGGAACCCGACACACAGTCACACCAGAGACTCAGATGACTTAGGTTGAAACAAGGTTAACTGATCAGGAGAAGTGACACAAACAGAGCAGCAGTTCATGAGTGGAATGCCAGCATCAGTTCTCAGGATTCTCCTGCACTTTCAGTCTTATACTGTCCTTCACTGGGGACCATATCTAGATTTATGGATGAGAGAAAAACAAGAGATAGTCCGGAGCCTTGGTGCAATCTGACCTTGAAAGGCACAGAGTGCCTTGAGGGGCACAGGGAGTGCTTGCCTGTCCTCCTACAGTAGGTCAAGAATCTATAGAAGATTTGCAAGTTGGTACACATCTGTTATAGATACGACCTTTACTTAAGGAGGTCAAAAGAGGGTAAAAGTTCAGCAGCATCTCTAGAAGCTTAACCCCAGAGAGGAAAGTATTTTTTCCTTTACACTCAAGCCTTGCACTATGTGTATTCAAACATGTTCGCACTCAAAGATATGTGTTGTCTGGTCTGACTGTTTATGGATGTGTATATATA